ATTTGTGCCGCAATTCTGCATTTCCTCCCTATACCTTAAGTTAAGGAGGGAATGTTCCCCCTTCTTTTACACCTCTTGACTTTTGACCTTTGACCACCAGCTTCGACATCCCAACTCGTTTTCGGATTACCCCCCCACGTCCCAAATATCGTGACCGTATATCGAGCGGTTAAGATTTGTGCCCAACAGTTGACGGACGCACGGATGGCCGGACAGACAATCATGCGATTCTACAAGCTGCACCTGACTACGTCAGATGAGCTAAAAAAAACGAACTTTGTCTATATGCATTCCGCTATTTATTGATTTCGGACCTCCAAACTTGCCACGCTGTTAGTTTATGAACCTGAGGGTGGCCTAAGCACATTTAAAGGTATACACTAAAAACTAATATCTCAAAGCAAGTAAAATATTAAAAGTGTGTTATAAAGCAATTGCGGTTGTTGTCATAACGCGCAATGTATGTTGGGATTCTACATTTCATGTTGCATGTACTGCGATAGCGGCCGTGTACGTGCACTGGCAGTGCGTTACGCCAGAAATGGCTTCGCCTTTGATCTCAGGCTTTAGCTGGCGTTTCTCGATTGCCAGCGAGTCAGTTGTACATTTGAGAGTGCTGGCGAAGCACTGTTAACTGCGTGTATACTGTGTACACTGTTTACTATATAAGTACTGTATTACGCAGTTAATATAAGTTATGTAAGTACTCCTTACAACTGGGTATTCTTTAATGTCATTTTCAGGCATTCAGCAGGTGAAGTATAGATAGAAGGTGCATTAAGTATAACTTTTATATGGTTTTTTGATATATCAATGACGGCAATTACATTAAATCTTACAAATCAATGACATTTATGATTTCAGATGAATTTCGGGTACTATAGTCTCCCCTTCAGTCTAAGGGCGCGTTTCTTTGGTCAGATCCACGGATCTCGATCAGATGGATTCGTTAATCTGACTGTTTGTTTGGTCGGATCACTTGATCTCGATCCACCGAACCCGATCCTTCCAGCGAGGCGGATTCGAACGGGATCCAATATGGCGGCCCGCGCCTCAGCCAATCACATCTTGTTCTTTGTTATGAACCATCCCGTGATAGGTCACAGCAAAACGTGAACCGGTGAAAGTGAGTTTGCGTTTGTTTGGTCGGATCGGGATCACATGATCTCGATCAGACGGATTCGTCCCAAACAAATGCGCCCTAACATGCCCTCATCAAAACAAAAGGCAGTGGTCACTTCTTCTTAAAAGGGTGGGGTGGGTGGGGGTACAGTGCGGGGGTCAGTGTAGGGATCGACCGGGGTGAAATGGGTACATAGCTGCTGCCTGCGACACTTACCTGACATTTCACCACAGGGACAACTCCTACATTTCGCCTAATAAGTAGTACGCCATATTTGCACTCAACATATTTCCACATTAAAATGCATGTACTTCTTGTATATTTCAACTTTGCAGCTAACCAAGACATTGCCCCCCTATGTACCTACGCACACAAATACCTAAGTACCTACAGATATCAATTGGATGCTCAATACTTAATAGGCAGTATTCATGCTAACTTGGTGCAATTTCATAACCGTGCTGTATATCCAGAAGCTTTTACTACACAGAATCATTGAATCGTTAGAACCGTTTTTGTCTGAATATTGTTTATTGTTTGTTTCTTTGTTACGAATCTATCCTTAGAACCCAGTAAATATATGTGACTGAATTTGCTCTAAAAGTTGTTTCTACGCGTTTTTTCCCGAGCAATTAACGCCGGGTACCCGGCTAGTACGATCTGACAATGCCGCCCTTCAACCCCAGAGTCATGAGTGCAATATCTCCTGCTGCTGCCCAAAGTAAGAAAGCATGTCACTCTCTCTCTCTCTCCCTCTCTCTCTCTCTCTCCCTCTCTCTCTCTCTCTCCCTCTCTCTCTCCCTCTCTCTCTCTCTCT